AAAAGTGGTAAGAGGTTGACTATCTTTGTGAAGAGGAATTTGATGAAACCCCGTCTTTGCTTAGTAAATATCTTTGAGTTTTTCAAATCGGCTATAGCTGTATCAACTTTAAGAATTGGAAAATTAGCTCTTTTCACCTAGTTATTTAAATTAGTGTAATCACAACATAGGCAAATTTCATCACTGTTTCTTTTTGGCACCACAACAATAGGACTGCACCAGTCCATAGGGAAATCTACCGGTACTATTATGCCTAACTTGACGAGTTTATCTAGTTCCTTTTATAATTTTGGTAACAAAGGTATAGCGACAGTTCGTGGAACCAACTGAAAAAAAGGTCCTCCCTTTTTTAAGTGAATTTTAAGTTCTCTTTTGAATTGGCCTATGCCTTCGAATAGATTTAGATAGTCAGTACAAATATCAAATGGAATCTTATTTCCTAATCTTGTCATATTAATCTTACTTACCAAATTGAATCTTTTAATCTCGGGTTTGCTTAACAAATTCTGTTTCAACTCTTGTATATAATATAAACCTAGGCCTTAATTTTGCAATGTTTGTTTCCATAGTTTTGCCCCTACAAAAGACCCTGTTTTTGGCTGTAGAAAAAAATCCTGACGTGTAAGGGCAAAACTGAGGTCATATTCGGTTTCAGCAGGCGAAAATACATGGGAATACCATGGTCTAGTCTCTGCGCAGACAACTTTTTTTGTTGGCCTGTGAATTATTATATACAAGTATAAACAAGAAGGAAGTGTCAGAGTCAGAGAATCACTACTAACCTATTCGATCATCAAGCAATGTTTTCTGAATGTTGAATTGCAACGTCTACAAGACATTACAGATCAGCGGACATTAGATGTTTGTATAACAAGGAATTTACATTTTTTGCAGTTAATGCAATATTGCAAATGTTGCAATGCAATGTTTTTGAGATGTTGATTCAACAATGCTTGTGTGCTGTGTGGGTGGACATTGGCAGAACGTCATTATGTACGTATGATCAGAAACAAAATTATTAGCCTTTATTTATTTTATTAAAAGAATCTCAACCGGAGAAAAATATGCTGCACTTTTAGAGAACATTCTACAAGTTTGTTTAGAAGACTTGCCGTTAGAAATTCAGATGCAAATATAGTGTATCATTATGATGGTTGTTACATAATTAGCGATAGGATTAAGTATCTTATAAATAGATTTAAATTTTTTGGCGTGGTTTCAAACTCTCTATTTACTTAAAAAAATAAAAGCAATACTTTCAAGTAGACTCGAACCTGGACTGGGTTTGAACTCTCTATAAAAAACCCTCTACCTTAAAAAACAAGAGTATTTACTTCTAATAATTCAAACCTGAGTCGATATGTTTGAATTTTTTATGAATACTTTATTAGCCTTTGAATCAAAATATTTGTACAAAACGATGATTATTTTAATATATTATTTTTTTATAATTACAAATATTAGAGTTTAACAATCGTTGAGATTAAATCTATAAACATATGATTAAAAATATAGAATAAAAATTACTTAAAATCTTTACACATTTATACATTCTTTAAGGCTCTTGCCTCCTCGCCGCTTCTATCCTTGTTTGATGACATCAGAAGCGAGAAATCGCATTCCAAAAATTCTCTCAGTTTTACGTTGAAATAAAAAGATATATTTATAAAACTCAATGTAATTAATTTAGCTCATTTGTAAAACATACCGAACACTTTCCTTTGGCTTTAATAATCAATAAACAGCTGTAAAATAAAAAATAAAAGAAGACAGGTTAAAAAAGTAGATTGCATGATGTCATGTTAATTTTACGGCTATTTAGTGATTATTAAAGTCAAAGGACAGTGTTTGGTATATTTTACAAACATGTTGAATCAATTACAATTACGTTTTATGGATATATCTTTTATATCGCAAGTACAATGTATATGAAATATTATTTCTTATTTTTCTTATGAATATTAAGCCGAAATCACACGAAGTACGATTTCTTGAATGATTAGCATGCTGCTATGCCTGCTCTGATGCACGCATATAAACATGTTCACGCATTGAGCAAGGCACTGCATGCACCAATTGAAACATTGAAAATAGTCACGATCAAGCAGACGATCGACAGCATCTTCAGAAAAGAAATTTTAATTTCGTAGTACGTAATCAAACGCCAGATTCCAAAATGTCGTGGAATAAAGAACAAATAACAACATTACTAGAGGCGTATAAAAATGAATCACTTACCATCTACCCTCTTTTTTATTTTCTATGAAGCATATTTTAAGGTATAAGTTCTGTCGTTTTTCACTCTTCTTACTTTTATTAAATTTTAATATGTTGTAGACGGAGTTAATATCTATCGATTACGAAATTTTTAAGTCGATTCACCGTTTAGTTTATTAATTAAAAATAACACTTTTTGTGCTTGCGCCCTATACATAACACGTGAAAGGATGGCATTTTCATCACATTTTAATATATAATGATAGAACAAATCTTACGATTTTAATAATTAAAAAAAAAGTAGAGAAGTAGAATATAAAACATGAGTGTGGGATTATTCTAAAAAAAAAAATTAAATTTTTTTACCGTTTAGTTTCAAAGATATCACTTTGCAAAGAATACATCATATTTATGCATATTAAATGTTCGGCAACATAACCCATATCAATAATATGTCTGCCTTCAAATTGAAATGTTTGTGATTTCTCAGTGAGGTTATGTGGCACCTGTTTACGTTTAGCAGCATTTGCTATGCACATTGCAGAAACGGCTTTTTTCGTTTATCAAAACTTCTTTTCTTGATAAACCGACGTTTCAAACGCAATTGATCTGATATTAAAGTGTAGTAGTGGTGTATTCATGCATGAGTTGTTTCTATGTGAGCAGGTTCGGACTGTATGTACAGATTCATTCAAAAGTGTCGCTCCGGTAGCATTGAATAAGAATAAGTGTTGAATTTTTCTATTTACTGGAGACGAAATTTTTAGTTGATAGTGTACCGACAGTATTTTAAGGAATGTAATTTGTTTATACATTCTGTTCATTACGGTGCAAAATGACTGACATACCGAAATAATTTTTTTAAAAATAACATTCTTGGGCGGCTCTACCACCCACAAGCGACCCGCTTTTTTGTCAGTCAATTATGCTAATAATCATAGAATATATCAAAGAATTATGGTGCAAAATGACTGACATACCGAAATGACTTGAAAAAAAAATTTTTTTTACACAAGTGGGTGGCTGTACCACCCAAAGCGACCTACTTTTTTGTCAGTCCCCGGAGCTTTGATCATTGAATAACATTATGAATCACCACAAAAAAGTTTCATAAGTACCGAAATAATCACGAAAAAATGGAGCTAGCTCCCCTACTATCATAAAACATGCAGCAACAAATTTCATGCACAACGATGAATTTGAAGCAACTAAGAATTTACTTAAATTACATATCCAGAAGTCTATTAAAAATTAGGAATATCATTTTAAACACATTCGATAGATACGTAAATGTTTCTATAAATATTTTTCCTCTAAAATAGTTTTTTCAATCTTTTTTATATCTTTATTTGTAATAATAAAACAAGCATTTTATTATGCTTGCCGAATTTGCCTCTCACTGTTCACTAGAAAATATAAGAAGGCAGAGCCCACAAAAGATGGAAAGAGAAAAATTGCATAATTTTATTTAAAAAAATAGAGGTCACCTTACGAAAAAGTTTGTAAAGAAAGGACTTACAAAATAAAAAACAAAAACATCAATTCATGGATTCTCCTGAATCAAAATATTAAAAAAAAATAATTTGAATTGGTAGAAATAATTAAAGTTCAAGTTATATGTTGTTCACTCGTACATGCACCGGCGTCGCTTTTGAATTGCTTTTATTTAGAACGTATAATTGTAGTGAAGTGACGCCAAAAGTCGCGACGATTTATCCTTGTACATATATACAATAAAATACATATGTACTCTCTTTCTTACACAGTTTTTCTCCCTTTCTCCCTCTCTCCCTCTCTCCCTCCTCTCTCTCTCTCCCCCTCCCTTTTGCCTCCTGTTCTCTTCCTAACTTTCTTTGTCTAATAGTAAGTATTTATCTTTGAAAATGAATGAAAGAAGACGCGCAAGAAGATAACAAATAAACCTATCAGAAATATAATCTAAATGCATTAACTTTTTATTTCTATAATAGAAAAAATGTATTTAATTAAATCTGTAACTAATGCTTTCATTACAATATATGTATTGTATCTTAACGCCATCTTGAGCATTAGTTGATATTGACAATTTTGCATTGATATTTTAAATTGTTAAGAATTATAAATAGTTCGTTAACGTCAACAAAAACCATAATTTATATTGTAATTAATTTTAATCTTACAAGTCAATTAGCTAGTATTTTATATAAAATACATAAATCACGAGTCATAGATAATGATAAAATTTATAATAAAATAATTTTCATAATATACGTTAAAATGTAATAATAGGATTATTATATTGTTTATGGCCGGTATTTATAGTCGAATCTTATATTTAAGACCGATCTTAAGATGTTGTGAACCAATTACAGAGCCATTAGCCATTATCATCTTAAGACAATCGGTCTTAAAATAAGACCCGACTATGAACATCAACCTATAATAAATATTTAATTTTCTATATATGACTTTATATATATGTATAATACATATATACAATAATTTATTAAAGATTTTTTATATATTTATAATAAATTTATAAAAAAAAACAAAATAATGTATCTTCTGTTATAGATTTTTTAAAAATGTTATCTACATTTATCTAGCCTATTCTATAATAAATATTTATATGTAAAAAATTTTGCAAATATAAAATATTACAGTTTGTGTAAATACAGTTTAATGTAAATCAATACGTCGACACTATTTCTTTTATGGATATTGATACGAGACATTTGTAATGCGTTTAGTTTTTGCATGTGTTTTTTCGGCGATTCGTATTGCTATAGATAAAATAACATTACCTGAATGAACTGTTATGACGAAGGCTGAAGTGAGGAGCAATATCACAATTATTCGACGCATCTTGCTTCTTTGATCGTATAACTTTTATCCTTTCGATGATGATGATGTAAATTGCACAATTTAGAGGATAGCGCTCTTCGAGGAGGAAGAGTTGTCGTCGTGTAGACAGACTGATCGTGAATACGCGAGTTCCCGTCCTTGAACACTGCGTTGCTCGCCGCCCCCTATCTTCTCCTACCCCAGATCTTTCCTGACATTTTATTCTCTGCTGCCGCCAAACTTTTCCGTAACGCATACGACGCGCAGATTCCATCTTATCTAATATACCCTATGCTCTCTGCATGCCTCTCGCTTTCTTTTCTTTGCATAGACATTTTTTTGCGTAATGTATTAATGTATACATACACAATATTCCATATATTCGATGACATTTATCAGTATAACAATACTCTTTTCCTAATTCTCCTATTTTAGAAACCTTTTTCAGAAAAGTTACAAAAGTTTAGAAGAAAACCACGCTGAATAATATTTTTCTATTATTTCTTGGATCGATGTGATTCCAACATCTTTTTTTAATAAAAAATAAAATGTGTTTGTGGATTATATAGGGTAGGTAGTCCAACAATGAACCAGTAGTACACTATGAACCATTGCGATATTTCGTAAATGTGATGTTGCCAGATTGTGCTGTTGTCATGCAACAACCGGCATTTGAACCCCTCTTCGGCTCCCCAATCGGCCGGCAGATCGCGCGAAGGATGGCCACATTTTGTGAATTTTGGGTGACAAACTAAATTTTTTATGTAAGTTTTACGTATTTTTCATGTTTTTGTTGTTATATCTATTATTTTTTTTTTCATTATTCTATAGTTTTGTGTATATTTGGCTTTATAATTCTGTAAGCAACTTTTTCCTATTGCATTATTTTACCGTATTATTTTGGAGATTATCGTAAAAAATGATTTATTGGAGACTATCGTTATATGATCTACAATGAATCATTTTGTTTTTGACGATAGTTATCTGTGTTATAAGTCTAGCTGATTAAACTGACTAGTTGCTACAATAAATAAATAATCTAAGTGAGAAAAGTTTGATCAAAAATAATAATTTTGATTGTAAGCTTCAAATAATAAAAACATAACATATATAATTAAGTTGGTTTTAATTTAAATTCATATACTATCCTAACCTTACTTATTATGCCTTATAATAATCTCTTCTTTAAATAAACATTTTAAAACAAAGTAAAACTAAAATAATCCTAACAATTCACAGTATAAAACATGTGGTTCATTGTTAAAAATGGCCAGGTTCATTATGTATATAATGAACATGTGACACTGTTTTAAAAAAATCAAAATTGTGGCTAAACTTTAAAAATAACTTATGAGTTATCTTATACAATATGTAGCCAACTAAATTAAACTGTATGCAAAAATAGAGATCTCCAACTCAATAACTGAGAGAAATATAACCCTCTGAAATTTACATGGTTTATGTTGGACTACTTACCCTATATATATAAAATGATATAAAATGATGTCATGATATATGTACATGACATGACATGACTATATTTATAAATATATATAGTAGGTGAGAAAAATATTTTATTATTATATATTTTTTTTTACAATTTTATATGGAACAGAGAAATGTCACATAATGTAATAAGATGGCAAAGTGTTTCCATCAGCAGGATCATTATATTTATTTATATTAATTGTTTAAAATTAAATTAATTATGCTTTTTTACCACATATATGCTTTTTACTATATATACCTATATATATATATATATATATATAGGTATATATAGTATAATAGATGATATGTAGAATTTAGTTGCAACATTTAGCTCAATTTTCGTATTCATTCAGATAATTCTCTTGTTGCATCTTAACAACGGAACTGCGCTGCCAGCCAAATTTGAGCCACACAAAATTTAAAAATATTCCAGTAAAACACTACTTAAAAGTCCGATTCTTGCTTTACATGCTCAACATTTTTTTTTTTTAATTTGAAAATAAATAGGCATTACATTTAGCACAGTTGGTGGTCAACACAGTATTGTTTAATTTTAAGAAAATGGACTACAGTATGAAGCCTTTTTTCCATAACTGATCGAGCTGTGAATTACTTTAGAAAGTGGATGAAAGAATCTTTTATTATAAAAAATAAATAAACTTGTAGTTAGATTATCTAATCTAAATTAGTAAAAAAGCAATTAAACGCAAGGGTGGCTACTTTGACGAAAAAAATGTCAAATATTCTTTAGTGTTTAACTCTTTTTACCTTGCAAAAATATTTTTTTGCAGTTTTTAAACATTTTATATTATTTTTTTATTTTATTATAAAATAATGAATAAAATAATGAAAATATTAAATTATAACGCAAATGTTAAATTATAACGCATAAGTTTGATTTTATTTCATATAATAACTATTTTCAATTAATTAATGGTCTTGAACTTTTGGCTAGCAGTGTATATACACTGCTAGCCAAAAGTTCAAGAATAATAAAGGGATGTGACGTTCTGTCTCACGAACGGTCGAACTATGAATATGATAAAATCAATATCTACTGCTATTGTGTATACGCTAGGGGAGACCGGGACTGATAGGCCAGTTTTCCAGTTTTCGATTTTTAATAAAATACTAAAAGAAATATTGTCGCATTTATAGGCTATGGTAAGACACGATATTTGGCTATTAAATTAAATTTTTAAAGTTAACTTAATTTGTTGATAATTAATATAATTGAATATTTTCCTTATACCTTCCACTCTGGTCAACCAACCTTATAGTCGAAGTTGGTTGACTAACAGTATAGGGCAGGTTGGTAGGTGTAATTAGTCGAGAAAATATTATTTGCAGCTTCATCCAGCGGTAATAAAATAGCACAGTATGAATAGGAAAGTTGTTCTATCATAAACTATTATTATTTATTTTTTATAATAAGTTATATTTTTGATGATATAGGTTATATTTTAAAATTAAATGTAAATTATATGAACAAACTAAACAAATTCTTTAACAAATTAAAAATAAATTCACATTTATAATAAAAAAAAATTTTTTTCAAATAGTAATATTACATCCTCCCTTATAACAAAGGTCGGTCATTATACCAATGACTAGTATCTTTGGTAAAATAAAGGCATAAAATTATGTAACAGAAAATGTTTGAAAATTAAATGTTTGAATTATTATAAAAAACTTGACATTTTTTTAAAATTAACTTTAAAGTTTAAAACAATAATTTTCTTTATTTTTTATTATATTTATGATTAAAATTTAGTTTTTTTGAAAAAAAATTTTTTCAGATAATATTACTATCTATTAGGTAAATATCCTATCGCTCTTGTACTCCTGAAACAAAACATTGCGCGCATCTTATTGTTAGATGCAAGCGCGGCAAGAAGATTCCTATATAATGGTATTACATTAATACGAAAATCAAGTCAAAAGTTAAAAATGTTAAAATACGAAAATATATATATATGTCTTTATATATATATATATATATATATTATATATATATATATATATATATATATATATATATATATATAAAGTAAATTAAACCTGATTACTAATCTGGATGATTTTGAAGCTCTAATTTAAAGACGCTTTTGATATGACTAACGACAATAGTATGTAACAGCAAAATATAATATTTTTAGGGATAAATTGCTACTTCAAAAATGTTTACTTTGTTACTCTCTGCCAAGTTTGGTCAATCTTACACGTTGTTGGTTTTTTTAAATCACTCTACATAGTATGAGTCATGTAATTGAAATGAGATTACAAATTTTGTTCCATTAAAAAAAATGATAAAAAAAAAAATTGAATGATATAATAAGATTATTCATCTTCCTAAAATCAATTTTTCCATAAATGCAAAAATATAATGAGAAAATGCTATTAAACTTTTTAAAAATAATATTAAATATTTTTACATAAAATAATCCCTCTAAACAATCTGTGTGTTAAAATATAAAGATAAAATATAATCTAAAAATAAATATTTTATGAGATATTCTAAATTTTATTCTGACATTTTAATAAAAAAAAAATGTCATGCTCATATGCATATATGTATAAAACTTTTCGATAATCTTACTTTAATTTATGCAGAATAATGAATCACCTAATAAAAAACACAAATAATGCTTTTTAAAAAAGTATACCAACTGCAATATACAATTACATATTTTTTAAATGCAATTATATACATATATGTTTTCTTTGTGTTAATTGACTTATTTTATTATTATATGTATAAACTATTAAGAAAAGGTTATCAAAAAACATATGTATGTATACATATATCTATATAAGAAAATTAAAATTGATTATAATTGGTATAATTTTCTTTTATTAATGTGATTGTTATTACATATTATCAATATCTTGAATCGATATAGGTAAAAGCATAATCAAAGAAGTTTTTTTGTTTACTATTATATCATGTTGATAATCAATTCTATTAGTGTACAAAAGAAAATTATACGACGGAAAGTTATTTTAAGATTTTAAATAATTTTTGTTTTATTAATTTAATATATAGAGTTAAAATAATAACATTTTTTTATATTATCTTTTTACAAACCTATAAAATATTTATCAAGAAAATTATTTGAGATAATTATTGGAAAGTTATTTAGTTTAACCTAAAAATTTAAATTTTGATATGAACATACTAAATTGATATAAAATGTATCGTAAATTTGTATGATTCTCAAAAATGACTGTTAATCGTAATCAATACGTATACACGTTCAATGTGATATATGATATAAAACGGTTAGAGGGGAAAGCGCGAGAGGCGCCCGACGTCATGGCGCCGATCGAAGTCGTTGTCGGCGTCATCTAGACGCCAGTAATGCCGTCTATTTAATCCGCAATTTTGAGCTTTACAATTGCGAAAAGAATTTTATGTAGGAAAAATATCTTGACATATTTTTGCTTTATTTCGCCATTATATAATCGATATCCTTATGTCTGTATCGTAATTGATAAAATAAAAGCTGTCATATTCTGACTTATAATCTTTTACTGGGAAAATATAGCATTGTCAGTTATTTAACAATCTCAAAATAATTTGACAGCTTTATGCCTTTATATAAAACACTTTCGAGATTATTACTTGCTGTAAT